TATTAATAGAGGGAGTTTCCCTTAATAGAGTAGACTTATGTCCACATGGATCATACCAACATGATGAGGCCTTGGTGTTTAGTCTTACTATACCCTTTAACCCTACTAAGCAAAGGTTGTAGTAGGGCTTATCCTTAAACCCTAACTAATAAAGTTGGTAATAGGGTCTTTTAACACCCTTATGTTTGAGATAGGAGAATCAATGATTTGAGAGTAAGCATAGAGCCTTGACTAGGTCACTTTCATAATTGGAGAGCTTGGACTATCCTAACCATATAGGTATATCTCTTAATTATTATGTAGCCCATTAATTCAATCACTAGTGATGGAGGTTTGGAGATACGGTTAATCATGCATTGCATTATATGATAAATAGTAATGTTAATTGTTTTATAACTGCCTTCTTTGTATGCCTATTATCTATTAGTTGTATTTTGTGCTCTGGGTTATAATGCACATGTTGATGAGGCTTAGTCAGGGCTAAAATATTGATAAAAGTATGCCTTTAGTAAATAGATTGTTGTAGATGATTATTTAATGATTTAAATGATGATTTACCTCCCTCTTGCTCTTTAATGATTATTGGTGTTGGCATTTGAAATTCATGTTTTGAATGTCTTGGTGTTTGGTGATGAGTTGCAGAGGTCATCCTCAATCTATTGGGTGTGATCTACGTGACTGTGAGAGCTTATGGCATCTAGTTTGGGGTTTGGACACCCTTTTATGGTTAAAATTGTGAAAAATTAAATGAGATGTGTTTGGATGTCTAACTTCTTTTTTATGAATAAATTTTGAAATGAAATCAGTGCCATTAATTAGCTTTATATGGATACCTAGATCATTTAATCGGATCTTAAATAGAGATTTGGGGGTGTGCTAGAAGTTGGCCCCCAAATCTATCATTTGTTGTCATATTTGTGTAGCTTGTTGCAGTAAATGGCACCTTAGCTGTGACGAGCAACACAAAGGAGGGTCACTACAGTGCACATATGAATTGGACGTGGTGGATGGTCTTAGTGTGGTATGTCGCAGCAAACGACCCATAATTTTAGTAAGTTACATTTGTAGTCTTCTTTTAAATGTTTCCAAAAGATTGGTTTTCTATGCTTCTATACACTCTATAGCTCTAATTTTCTTATTTTGAATAATGATTATTTATTAATGGTAAAAACTTGGGGATCTTGTTTAAACAAAGTTCAGTTTATCTAAATTTTGATATAATTGATTAGACCAAGTTAGAATTCAGAGATTTTACAGCATGAACTAATCCTTGTGTGGATAAGTAGTCTAGAAAAAAAGTTTAACTTGTCACTCTAAAACTTGTGAGTTCCACTATTGGAACTTGTATGTTTTAAGTGCATAAGACAAAGCTCTTCTTAGCCATATTAAAACTTGCATGTTTCATAATTGAAACTCACGTGTTTGAGTAGGCTAAAGGCAACCTTTTTACAAAGCTCTAAAACTTACATGTTTCATTCTGAAACTCATGTGTTTGAGCATCATAGGACCAAAAGTGTTTTGGAACTCTAAAACTCATATGGAACACTCTAAAACTTGTGGGTTTGAGATCCAACACTCGAGGAACAAAATATGGCATTTACTTAGAACATGGGTGTTCTAACTAGAACTTGCGTGGATGAGATTGGAAGTATAAAATGCACAAAGATAATTTATAAGTTTAATGTCCATAACTGTATGTTTGTGATCCTGAGACTTGTCTTTCAAAAATGTTCACCATGAAATGCAAATGCAAGCTCTCATGTTCAAAAGGTTTTTTACATAGAGAACTAAGATACCTTAAAATTAAATCCTGTAAAACTAAGGCTTCTCTTGTTCTTGCTCCTTTGCTCTCTTGATTTGATTTTGCCAAAATTAATCTTACATTTTGCATAAACAAAAGCATTTCCAAGTTTTGTTATCATTATAATAAAGTATTCAATACTATTAAATTGTGGTTATTTTAGTCATTTGTTCAAGCAAAGTAAGCATTTTTCAATCATAACTAGTAATTGAGGGTTGCACTTAATATATAAACAAAAATAGCATAAAGAACTTATTATTTTCTATTTCATTTTAGTCAAAAGTTAAACAAAATAGTCATTGACTTTTTGAACCATTATTTTACATATATATATTAGCATGTGATTTATAATAATATTTTATTTACTTGTTTATGGTTAGACTTGTAAATAGGTAATTATGGAATATTTTGATTACTAAAACTCTGCCTCACCTTATGGTTACTATTATACAAGTTGAAAGACTAATGGAGTGTAGGGAAATACTTAGGCCAAGAGTAATGAGACTACTATATCGCCCTATCACTAAATTTTTATAATGAACTTATGTGTGTAAATATTTTAGTTGCACTTGCATAATTGTATTGTATGTGTATCTTAGCCATGAAATGTGAAATTGTGATAAGTGTGATAAAAGAACTGAAATACTAGTAAAAGTGCATATTTATATGCTTTGGAGATAATATGATGTGTGAAATTGAGCTAGAGAATGATTTTTTGTGTGAAAATACACGTGGCCTTATTTTGATATGAATCAGGGCATTTAGGTGGCCAAATTGATATGCGAATACATAATTGATTATATAATTGCTTAATCAAGTGAATATTGTCCCACTAGATGTGCCCATTGGATGTGATTGAAGCCTAGTTGTGGCTAATAACATAATGTTGTGATTTGAGACGCTCGAATGTGATGAAATGACATATAGTGATCATTTTGCATCTGGATGTCCATTTTTTATATAAAATATCATATGGAAATGAAATATATGTCATTAATTAGATTATGAAATAAGTTTTGTGTGGGCATTTGAATTACTCCAACCAGACCATTTATATTAAAATGGTGCACGTCGAAAATTTATTCTTGATGAGCTTTCATGTGTGCTATGGCCAAAGTGATGCATGTTATGGCAAATGGCACATAATGAAAATAAATTCTTTATGCTATATGCTATGTGGCATATGTGCCTATTGGAAAAAATGACCCTTTTGCCTTTATTTTTTGATTTATCATGATTATGCATTCTAAATTGCTTCCATTGTACAAAAGTACATATTATTTTAAGTTTAAACATATTTTAAAGGATTTTTGAGATCCTAAATGTTTTTGAAGGATTATCTTATATATTTTAATCTTTATTGAATAAGGTAAACTTAGCAGTTTAATATCTCCTGGTTACCTAATTATGTTGATTTGAGGTGATTAAATTGGTAATGTTAAGACGAACATTATAATGAAAGAATCCCAAAGAATTTAATTAGGCATTGACATGGTGTCATCTCTAATCTCAAATCCTATAATGAACTCCAATTTTTCTCCTATGATGAAGAGGAAGAAGAAAGTTGCAGCTCATCTTAAGTATTAACAAGATTAGATTCATAACCATACCAAATGGAATTCCCAGGCTCAACAACAAATATACACCTTCAAGCTCCACTAAGAGTTGGCTTGACTCAACATCTGTTGATTTTTTTCCTAGCGGCAACATTCAGAACCTCTTCTCACCAATTTGCAGCAAGTAAGAGCCTCAAACAATGCCCTTATGGAAATAAGGAATCGTGTCAATTACAATCAAGAGAACTTGGTAAAGCTCTTATTTCAATTCTTCAAGTCACATAGCAGATATGATATCACTCCTTCTCTCTCTTTGACCTTCCCTCATAACTCCTTCCAAGCATTTATAGCGTGGCACTTTTCTGCACCTCTTTAGCTTCTTCAAACTAAAACATAAGCTAAAGGCGGTAATGCTCCTTGATGTGGAAAGCAATTCATGAAGTCATCGATCTGTTATTCCCAAGGGAAGGACTAGGTAGAACATGGCAATTCTTAAGAACCAAATCATGCTAAAATTTAGGAACTAGAAAAGGAAGAGAGTCGTGACAGCATCAAGGGATATAATTATCGGAAGTAGTCAATCGAGGAAGCTAAGAGTAAGTTTTTTCTGGTTGAAGGGAAAGACCTTGCCAATTGTGTAGAGGATATAAATTTAAAGTGTATATTTATAAGGGTGTTTTGGTAACTGCAAACTAAAACCTTTTTTTTTTGCCATTAAAGCCCTTGGGACTTTAAAGTTATTTTTGAATTTTATTAAACCTTTTAGTTATTAGAATTCTTTAATGGACCTATCCGTGATTTCTCCTAAATCAACAAATGAAGAAAATCTTAAGTATCAACAATAAAAAATTTTTCACCATCTTTTTTAATGTCATAATATCACTTGAGAGAAAACAAAACACCTATAGTTGAAGAGGAAAAAAGGAACTAAGGTTTTTATTTTTGAATTAAATAAATCTAATATGACATTTTACCTCTTATTTGGTTAGAGAGGAGGGAAAATTTCATCAAAATTTCTCATCCCGTCCCCTTACCCTTTGCCAAATAAAGGGAGGGGAGGGAAACGTTTTTGGGGAGATCGGGAAGGATTCCTCTCCCTCTCTCCCCTCTATTAAATTCCCTCCCACCTTTCTTTTAATTAAACACAGTGTTAATCTTTGGTTTAACATATTTAGAAGATGTCATTGAAGTTGCTAATAGAAGAGTGCCACAATGACTGAAAAGGAAAGGCAAATAGAAGAACGCCATATATGGAGTGTAGAAGAGAGCAACATAATAGTCATTGGGAAGTGCACTTACAGAATGGTAGAAGAAGGAGAAACAAAAATGAACATTACTTCCAACTTTTGTGAACAAGTCAAGCGTTGAGCTTGAACTCTAAAAAAAGGAGAAAAGGAGCTGTGTCCTGAGTGAGAATCCTAATCACGTTGCCCTCATTTATTTTTTATATATAATATTTATATAAATAAAGTTAAATATAATTTTTAGTCTCAATATTTTACTAACTTAAAACATAAAAAAAAATATAGAGATTAAAAATAAAATGTGAGTAAAATATAAAAACTAAAAATTATATTTAGCCTGCAAACAATAATAATCCTACCTGGATTGGATCAAACTAAAATGGCTTGAAAGCTCAGTCCTGAGCCTGGTCTTACTTGGTAGTCGAGTCTAACCGGAACAGTTTAGTCTTCAGGTCAAATTTTCCAAGACCAGATCGGATTGGGCCATCTCGGGTTGGACCGAGCTTGCTAAACCACCGGGTTTTTGTAGTCTCGAGTAGGAGATTCATTTTTTGGCTTGGCGTTCCACTTCCATCCTTGGTAGAGCTCGCCTTTGGACGCCATCCGCTGTTGTCAGCCCTGCGTGGTTGTCCTCCGGCAAGTATTGAAGAAGGTACGAACTTCGTCTTCGTCCAAAATCCGGTGAGACTGATTTGTTCAATCTGGCTTTGAATCTAGACTTGAATTTGTTCCCCGCGTCATCTCTTCACTGTCGACCCTGCGTCGGATTCCTTCGCATCGTTTCTTGCTTTGTTTTAATTTAATTGGAACATTGTAAATTGCAAGAGTGCTTATCATTATCATTCTTCAGTGTCTTGGAGGAGTTGCTTGAATCAGGCTTATTAACGCATCGTTCAAGTATCTGGCAAAATAATAATAATAATAACAAATAAATAAATAAAAGGGTATGATATCAACTATGCATATTTCAAAGGTTTCAGTGGGGAGTGTCTTTGATCAACCTCAACCTCAATAACCTAAGGTGGTGGATGATGAAAGAAGAGTGTAAATCCTTGTGATTCTTTGTACATTCCTTTTTGAATGAAAGTTTCAGTTTCTGTTCATAAAGAAGAAGAAGAAGAGGAAGATTTCAGTGGCGGTAAGATGCCCTCACTGAGTGTAATATTGGTCCTCCTATGCTGAACAAAAGGATAGCCATTTTCCCCCTCATTTTCTTAGGTTTTTTTCTTCTCACCGTTTTGCTTCTTATTCCATAAAACAGTGTCTTAAGAACCGCTAGTATTCAGGAATCTAGCTAGTTGAGTAACTTGTTCATCTAAACAATTTTAGAATGTTGCATTTCTTGTTATCATTTCTGTCAGTGAATCATTTTTGCTTGTATCAGAATGATTGCATTCTTTCTCCTTCTATTTAAAATATGCTTATCTTTATAGGAATCGAATATCAGTTTACATAGCTGTCAATAAGCTTTTCATGCATATACTGTCAGCAAACTTTTGCAGGATTTTGATGTTCATAGAAGGTTGATTAGTCTTAACAGTGAGTGTACTTCTTGATTTGCAGGTAGGAGTTTGTGAGCATTTCTTTATCCATATCAGTGATAAATGCTGAGTTGCTGACAAAAGGTTTTGCATAGAGCTTCTGTTCGGTCTTAATTTTTATCAGGTACCTACTCTTTTCCATGAACCCTTTGCAAAACCTAACCACCAGAAAATCCAGATCAAAACCAACGTTGAAGAGAAAAGCCAAAAAGAAGAAGGATCGTGGAGAAAATGAGTCGCAAGTGGCAAAAGCCCTATCAGACTTACCATTTTGTGTGGCAAAAGTTGCTACTTCACAGATCTGTCGGTCAGTTGGTTTTAAGAGAACCCAGCTCTTTGCTCTTGAAACCTTTACTAACATTGCTATAAAATATCTGCGAGCCATTGGCAAATCAGCTGCCTCTTTTTCCAATGCCTCTAATCGCACTGACCCCAACCTCTTTGACCTCATCAATGCTGTTCATGACATATGTTCTGTTCAGGGATTTCCCACATCTTCAGAGATGCATAAAAGTAAGCTGCTTAGATCTGGAGCATTGAGAGAGATTATGAAATATATCAACCTATCCAAAGAATTACCATATGCAAAACCGATTCCTTGCCCAAGTTTTTCTCAATTCCCAAATCCAGTGCAACCGATTGATTCAAACATGTCCATGGGTTGCTGTCATACAAAACTGCAAGGTTCTCACATACCAAGATGGCTGCCAGATTTTCCTCCCGAAAGCTCATACAAGAATTGCAATAAGATGATTGAGGAGAGGAAAAATGGTGAAAAGTTGTGGGAACAGTTTGCTCCCTTGGAGATTTGTGGTGATGGTGTTGAGGAAAATAGGAAAATATTAAAGGCCAATGAGGTTTGTGGGAAAGAACTGAATGATGGAAGGATGGAGCTGGCAAATGAAAGAGGAAAATTGAAGTTTAAGATTGGAGGGGAGAAAGAGCAAGCTTTTGGGTTAGGCGTGAATAAAAATAGTGGCTTATGCAGAGGAGGCAAGCGTGTGTGTTGGAATCACAGTGAAATGAATGATTGTTTGTTTGTGGACCGGAAGATGATTTTTAGAGAAAAGGAGTACAGTTGATATTAATAATGTTTCTGTTTAGGAAAGTATCCTTCAAGTGTGTATGCAAATTTACGCGACTGATATGTTTTGACTTGATTTGAAAGTGGAAAGTTGCAAGCCTCCACAGAATTTTGAAGCACTGGATGATTCAAGGTATTTGCTAACACTCACCATTAAGTATCTAGTTAAAATTATCTACCATTATAAAAGTGATTGTGTGTATAACACTCATAAAAGGACAGTGATAAGTAGAGCCATCAATTACCTTTGAAGCCCAAAAAAAAAAAAATCTAGGGTTGGGCTGCTACTTTGGTGTGTAAAATGATAAATTGGGCTTAAGAGAAAAGGTCCTTATATATTTATGTATATTAATTTTAACATGAAAAAAATTAAATGTTGCTAAAAGTCTATAGTCAAGTGTGTTCTAATTCCTTCTCCCTTTAATCGATCCTCTAGGCTTCAATCTGAGGAAAAGGATCAAATTATATTGATGTTGATGATAATGATGTTAACAAAGTTTAAATGTTATCGGTGCTGATTTTATGATGTTACTATTTTTTATTAAACTTAAAATTTGTTGTTGTGTGGGTTGTCTTATATTTATTTTTCTAAACTTAATGTTATTTGTAATAACCTTTCTGTGATTTTAAATATATTTTTAAAATTTTAAATTAAGAAAATGAAAAAAAAAAAAAGGGCTGGCCCCTGAGGGCTAGGGCCAGGCTAGCCAAAATGGAGCCTTAAATGTTATAACTCTCAAGACAGTTGAGATTTGTCATTTTTATCACATTATGAAATTCCTTTTTTAACTCTTCATTGTTTTACATTTGACTTGATGAGATGAGACCTTCAAGTTGTAGACTTAAGCATATTATCTCTCTCTCTCTCTCGCTCGCTGGCTTTCCAATTTATATTATTTCACAACATAATTAGTGTTATTCATTCCTTTATTTTGCTTTTGCAGTTCGATGAGCAGGGTTAAAGCTAAAGTTAGTTGGTAATGTGTTGATGCTCAAAAGGTATGTAATAGCCTAATAGGCATATGACATCAGGTGCTTAAGTTAACCGGGGATAGATCTTACATAATGAGCTTGATTATCCTGGTGGGAACATTGAAGCTCAATGTAAAAGAAACTGTATCCATCTTTATCTTCGTTAAAAAGTACTTATGAAATCCTTAATGATCACCATCATATAATAGGATCATTGGGGGAAATGGGGTGGGAGGAATTGTATGCTGTCATTTTGAGCAACACAACAAAAAATTAGGTGCTTGTTTGAGATGAAAGAAAACAATTTTGAAGATTAAGGTCCATTTTGGAAAATGTTTACTTTTGAAAATATTTTCTCTGTTTTTGCTGCGGTTTTTACTTTTAAAAAGTTTCTCTTAATCTCTAAAGGGTGTGGAACCTTCTGATTGGGTCTTATGTCCGTCACTCCCTCTGTCAGTTATCTTGGCACATGACTGAAGTGGAGCTCTTAGTGATTTTATGCAGCCTATGGTGAATAGAGATCGGAAAGGCGTAGATTAATCACATTCCTCTTTTCCTCTGTTTGCTTAATGTTTTTTACTTGTAGAGCCAATACATAACTGATTGTAAATTCCCAGAAGGAATTCAGGCACTTGAAATATTGACAGTGATGTCTAAATCTATGATGCCTGGATACTGATATATATATATATATATATATGTATCAAATACAATACATATGATATACGTATTCCATACTTTGATATCTTTATTTTTAAAAATATAGGATACAATACTTCAATACCCGCACTTATATATATATATATATAATAAAAATATTAAAAATATAATCTTAATTTAGAAAATATCTAAAATAGCATACATATATAGTCATGTAAAATGATATCAAGTAAAACATAATCATTACATGTATTTTTTTTCTATCTATATCTGATTATATATTTATTAAAAAATAAAAAACATTAAAAATATAATTTTAATTTATAAAATATTTAAAATAGCGCGCGCGCACATATGTAACCCTATAAAATAATAGCAAAACATAATTATTATTTGTACTTTTATTATATCTATATTTAGTTACCTATCGTTGGGTCTCTACTAATAGTTTCCCATTTAGGATTTAAATGCTAAAAGATTATATTTCTATATTTTTATAATTAAAAAATATAATTTTTTATCTCTTTATTATATCTAAAACTTATTTTTTTAAAGAAAATCTAATTTTTGATTTTAAAAGCAAATCATAAAAATATATTAAAAATAAAAAAAAGACTAACATCCCAATATTTAACAAAATTTAATTTTTTTTTGTAAAAAAATAGTTTTGAAGTATCAACTTTAAAGTAACAACTCACAATTTAAAAATATTGAATGCATGTTAAAAATATAAAAATTAAAATTAAAAAATAATATTTCAATACACTACAATATGTATTGAAGAAATATTGGTGAGTAGCGATATTGAATGTAATGTTGATATTAATACATAAGGCAATTTGAAATATTGATGTTTCATGAGTTTGAAATGCATGGTCTTGAAATTTCTTACTCAACATAATAATTTATTTAAATAATCTTGTAAACTTCAGTTTGCAAGCTAATAATAATCATACATGCAACAATCATGTCAAATTTATATGCATGTATCAAATTTTTATGCACATAAATTCATTGACCTTATAAATATTCATTTGTTGAATATATGCATCTATCAAATTTATTGAATATTTGTATAATTTATGTGCTATCTAAATGTATCTAAATGGACCTATATATATGAGTTTGCTATATTTTCAAAAATTTAGAGATTCACAGCCATTCCAAACCATAACAAGTGATCTTATAATCAATTTCTTTGAGAACAAGTAGTGTATACTAATATTGGAACATATCATGTTGACTATTCATGAAGAATCTTTTGGTTCTAAGTCATAATTTCAATCTTTTGTTTGAATCATATATAATATATATAATCCAAGATGTCAAACAAGTCATGCCAAAAATACATGTATTTAGATTAGCAAACTTCCAATTTACTGTAGCAAAAGATTAATTTAAAATTTTAATATAATATCCATTTGAGAAATCAATTGGGCTGAGAGGAAGTATATAAGTGGACATCTATCCATATGAACTCACATTTTATATTCCAACAATTTTCTTTTTAAGTGTGAGTCACACAAAATTACTCCTCTTATTCTCATATTTCAAAGATGGTGATGAGTGTACACAATAACCCAACAACATACAATTCACTGATAAGCTCAAGTGCTTCCTATTTCACAAACAACCATGTATTTCAATTCAATTGGGCTATTACCTTTTAACCTTCAATGAACCAAATAGATTTATAGTACCAAAACTTTGATGTAGATCTATGGGTCATAATTTTCATTATTAATCCTTTTTCTAGCAATAGAATAAAAAATCATGTTAGTTCTTCAAGAACTATCGACAATTCTTCAAGAACCTTCATATATTAATTGCTTACATATGTATATGAGGGCATATTTTCATTACTAAAATATGTATGTTCCAAGTATGGGATATACAATATTCAAAATTTTATACCAAATTTTATCAAAATCTTTGTTCATCCGAGGAAAAGCACTACTTCTTTTACATGTATTTGGTAACATCTCAAAGCTTATTTGTTGAATTTTTGAAGAAATTCAAGAGGAATTTGAAGAGATCCATAAGAATTAAATTCAAAATACATAAGGATCAAAGTTTAATGATTTAAGATGTTTAGGGGCTCAAAATGAAATGAAGAAAATTAGAGATAAATTCATCATTTCAGAAAATAAGATCTAACATATAAATTATTAACATTATAATATAGAATAATAAATATGAGATTTTTAACTTTCTTTCAAATTATCCCAACTATTTAAACATCATGAATTTGATTTAAACATTCATGAATTTTGCTTGCCAGATATGTATATTTTGCGCATATTACAAGAATGGTTGTCAAAATTAATATCAATTATCCGCAATAACTTTATATTATATAAAATTCAAAAAATATAGCTTCAAACTAAAGAATCATTCTCAAATTCAAATGTGGAATATATATATATATATATATATATTTCTTTGCATCAAAAGAAACATAAAATGAATTTAATTCCAATATATATATATATATATATAATATCATATCATTGTCATTATTAATGTTTAAAACTTGTGCAAATAATATCCAAACTTCATATATTTATATTAGCAAATAAATTAGCACAATATATTAATATCTCAATTTATGATCAATAATGACTTTTTAGTTTATTTGGTTTCATATCACTCTTTGAACACTTATTAATATCATAATATCAAATGTCTATAATAATTTCTCTTTCACAAATTGATCACAATAAATTTAAATACAAATAAAAATTAAATAACATATAGCCTTCTAAGCATATAGTCTCCTAAGCTTACAGTTATATCTTTTGGCTTTACAGTAACTTTTAGCATCCTTCTCTAAACTTATGGCCTTGGGCATCATAATTACTTTCGGCATTTTTTATATTATCTCATGTTTTCATTTTTCTTTTCTTTTCTTTTCTTTGTTTGTTTGTTTGTTTGTTTTTTTTTTGTTTTTTGGTTTTTGCTTCATAACTACTTTTGGCATTTACTCTCAACGAATTGACACATATTTGTATATATGACTTTTGGCCAACATTTGCTCACAATTTTAATCACCATGAAGATATTATTATTTCAACAATTATGGCAAGACAATTGTTTTTTAATAGCCATGACAAAATATTATTGGCTTTCAGCTCTCAATTTCTATAATATAATGTGATCATAGTCATCATCACTCTCACAGGCATACCTTGTGCTCTCAATAGTGCTATCAAATCAGTTTTTCCATATATTAGTCTTCAAGACCATATCAAATATCTCAAAACTACAACCTCTTTTATGTTATTTGATACCTGAACCAATAGCCTTCAAGGCTTTAATATTTGTAACCAATCAAATGATCAAAGTGCTACAAATTTAATTAGTCTTCAGTACTATAACAAATATTTTTTAATGTTATTGAAGCTCTTTTCTTTGGTCCTATGAAATGTTTAAATTATTAGCATTCATGGTTATGGTGTTTGTGGTAGTAGACTTTTTCTTGCATGCCATTTATTGGCATTGGACCCACAAGGTGTTCTTTTATAAAAGAACTACTACAAAAGTGACATAGTATTTGGTCATTTAGTCACAAAATCAGGAGTATTATGGCTGCTGATCAGTCAATAAAATAAAATATCAATAGATATTTAATTAAATATTATAGATATGAAAGAATAGAACTTTAGTTGTTAATTAATGATAAATGTAGAAATATAAACATAGGATAAAATAGAAGCATAACATAAGGTAAGTATAAAAGGTAAATTCTCATACCTCAATTTGATGAATATGAATCTTCAAATCAACAAATTAGATACTTTCTTAGAAATTGTAAGGCTATCTCCTTCTAGACAAATTGAAAAAAAAAAAAAATTTACCACACCATTTAGATTAAACTATCTTCATGCAATGAACACAACTCAACAAGTATCGACAATATGCCATAAACTAATTTGGTTGTGCCATGATAATGTATTTTAGAAATAAAAGAAAGAGTGGAGGAAGAGAATAGCAAGATAAGAGGAATTGGGAGAGGAAATAAGGAAGTATATTTTATTCACTTGAATGCATAATGCTTTGTACATAGCCTTTATTTATAGGCCTTCAACCATTAAAGTCTACCCTCAATGTTGCAAATGCATATAGAAAACATAATAGTGTAGTTTGTAATTTTTGAAAGTTATGAGGTGTTAACTATGAAAAACTTCTTCTAAATCATTCATTGAAAAGCTATGAGAAATAAAGAATCCTAAAAATTATGAATTATGAGCATTCGCTCATAGAATCATATAATATTTATTATAATGTTTATGTATTTTTTAAATTTCTATCTTATTTTAAAGTTTTTGTTATATAAGTCTTTATATGAAAATTTTTAAAATTTTGAATATGTAAGTAGGAAAAAATAATATTTCAAACATACATGAATTAAAAACCATGAATTAGAATTTTTTTCCCAAAATAATGAATTAGGGATTTATTAATATAACAAGAGATAAAGTAATATAATTTATTAATTTTAATACTTTGTAAATAACAATAATCTTAAAAATTTGGGAGAATTTTAGTTAAGGATAAAGGAAGAGACTTAATTACTAATAGGTCCCAAAAAATTTTGAAACTTCAGTTCAGTGTAGGGGAGAAATTAAAAGTCAAAATAATTTCAATGGTGAAAAGATCAAAATACCCTTCACTTGTTATATAGAATCACTAATTATTAATTTTCTTACTTCACTTGTTAATTTACTAATATAAGTTACAAATTACATGAGTTGACATGTCAATAATTATATAAGACTTGACATCTATTGTTCAATCATAAGAAACAATATCAATTGTTAAATTACTAACTTTACTTATTAATTTACTAACATCAGTTGTAAATTACTTAAAGGTCTTGTAATTTATTAATATCAATTGTAAATTACTAACATGTCTTATAATTTATAACTGATATTAGTAAATTAATAAGTAAAGTTAGTAAATTAACAACTCATGTTACTAATTATCTAATAAATGAATG